TATGCTTTGAGAGTATTTATTTTCATTTACATACATTATCAAAGAATAGTTTGGAATTCTGTAGTGTAGTCTGAGTGCAAAAGTCATTTGGCAGTAGTCATGCATGAGTGAGGCCAGAAAATGGGGATAAACTTTATTTCCTTCATAATTTTATCAGATAAGACCCTTGATTTATGATAATAAGTATTTGATGTTTAGGACATAATAGTCTTTTATCCTCAAAATTCTATAAAGTTCAGTTAGTCTTAAAATAATATCTTAGAAATAAATATAGAAATGAAAATGCATTAATAAATATTTTCTGCATATGTCACACAGAAAAAAAGACAAATGGACCTTTGTTTGCTATGTTCTTAGCTAAATATTTTTCTTCTGAATGCCAAAAGAAAATTTGACCTTATGCACTTCCTAAAAGCATTGCCTTATTTAAAAATAAACCCATTTCCATATATAATTAAAGTAAAGTTTTATTATAGGGTTAAGAACTAGCCATTCTTCTGAGGACATAACCTATTACAATGTCTCCTTTTTTCTCTTAAAAGGTAAATTAAGTGTTCTATATGATTTCTATTTTCTTTTTATGCCCACCACTTGTCTGTCAGTTTGTCTTACTGTGGTGACTTGCTCATTGCTTGATGTTGGGAGCTAAGCTACCAGTATTTCAAATACCAGCAGGGTCACCCATAGGGGACAGGTTTCAGCATAGCTTCTAGACTAAGACAGACTAGGAAGGACAATTTAGCATCTACTTGTAAAAAAAAAAAAAAATTGTCAGTAAAAACCTTATGAATAGCAGCAAACGTCTGATATAATGCCATAAGATGAGCCTCTCAGGTTATAAGACAAAAAATATGACTGGGGAAGAGCTGTCTCCTTAAAGTAGAGTTGATCTCAATGACATGGATGGAATAAAGCTTTCAAGACCTAAATTTGCTGATGTGGCATGAGTTAAAATGAGAAGAAACAGCTGCAAACATAATTAATAAGAACATGGAATAAATTAAGTATGAATCCAGGAAAATTGGAACTTGTTAAAAATGAAATGGGACACAAAGATCCATATCGTAGGCATTAGTGAATTGAAATGAACTGGCATTGGCATCTTTAACTGGAAAAAATACTGTCTACTATGCCAGGAATGACAAATTGAAGAGGAATGGCATAGTCCATCATCAAATAGAGCATTTCAAGATCTATCTTGAAGTACAATTCTGTCAGTGATAGGATAATACTCGTACATATACAAGGAAGACCAGTTAATACTACTATTTTCAAATTTGTGCAACCACTAAAGCCGAAAATGAAGATTTTTTACCAACTTCTGCAGTCTGAAATTGATCAAACATGCAATCAAGGTGCATTCATAAGTATTGATGATTGGAATGCAAAAGTTGGAAACAAAGAAGCAGGATCAGAAGCTGGAAAACATGGCCTTGCTGATAAAAATGGTGCCGGCGATCACATGATGAAATTCTGCAAGACCTATGATCCATTTATTGAAAATATCTTTTTCAACAACAGAAATGGTAACTATACACATGAACCTAACCAAACAGAATAGATACAAATCAAATCAACTAAATCTACGGAAAGACATGATTAAGACACTCAATATCATCAATCAGAAGAAGGTCAGGGGCCAACTATGGAACAAACTGTCAATTACTCACATGCAAGTTCAAGTTGAAGCTAAAGAGAATTTTCAAAGTGCACAAGAACCAAAGTACAAACTTGAGAATATCTCACCTAAATTTAGAGACCATCTCAAGAATTCATTTGCATTACTGAACACTAATAACTGAAGACCAGATGACTCATGCCATGACATCAAGGACAGTCTATATGAAGAAAACAAAAGATTATTAAAAAGACAGGTAGGAAAGAAAAGTCCAAAATACATCAGAAAAGACTCTGAAACTTGCTCTTGAAAGTAGAGTAGCTAAAGTAAATGGAAGAACTTATAAAATGAAAAAGCTGAACAGAAGATTTCAAAGACTATCTCCAGAAGACTAAGTAAAAGTAAAATGGTATAATGAAATATGCAAAGACTTGGAGTTTGAGAACCAAAAAGGAAGGACACACTTGGCATTTCTTAAGCTAAAAGAACTGAAAAAAAATTCAAGTCATAAGTTACTACAAAGAAGGATTCTATGGGCAAGATATTGAACTATGCAGGAAGTATTAAGGGAAGATGCAAAGAATACAGAGTCATTGTGCCAAAACTGGTCAATGTTCAACCATTTAAGTAGGTAGCATATGATCAAGAACCAATGCACTGAAAGCATTAATGAAAAATAAGTTTCCAGGAGTTGATGGAACACTAATTGAAATTTTTAAATGGATGTTCATTTGTCTATACAAAGAAACTTGGAAGACAACTACCTGGCCATACAGCTGGAAGAGATCCATATTCATACCCATTCCAAACAAAGGTGATCCAACATAACAAAGAAAGTATCAAACAATATTAATATTAATTTTGCCAAAAATTTTCTGAAAATAAAATATTTTTAAGTATATATAATAAATATTTTTTTAAACAATTTTGCTGAAAAAACAGCTGCAGCAATTCATCAACAGGGAACTGCAACAAATTCAGATTGGATTCATAAGAGCAAGTGGAATGAGAAATATCACTGCTGCTGTCAGATGGATCTTGCCTGAAACAAGAGAATACCAAAAAGATGTTCACCTGTGTTTTATTGACTATGAAGGCATTCAACTGTGTGAATCACAGCAAATTATAGATAACATTGTGAAGAATGGGAAGTGCAGAAGACTAAATTGTGTTCATGTGGAACCTGTCCATAGACCCAGAGGCAATCATTCAAACAGAACAAGGGGATATTATGTAATTTAAAATCAGGAAAGGTGTTAGTCAGGGCTGTATCCTTTCACCATACTTACTCAATGTATAGACTAAGCAAAAAATCTGAGAAGCTGTACTACATAAAGAAGAATGAGGCATCAGGACTGGAAGAAGACTCACTAACAACCTCCAATTTATAGCTGATATGACTTTGCTTGCTGTGAGTGAAGAAGACTTGAAGCACTTACTGATGAAGACCAAAGACCACATACAGCCTTTAGTATGGATTGCACCTCAATATAAAGAAAACAAAAATCTCTCAACTGCATCAATAAGCAACATCATGATAAATGAAGGAAATACTGAAGTTATCAAGAATATTATTTTACTTGGATCCTCAATCAATGCCAATGGAAGCAGCAGCCAAGAATTCAAACAATGTGTTGCATTGGGAAAATTGGCTGCAAAACACCTCTTTAAAGTGTTAGAAAGCAAAGATGTCACTTTGAAGACTAAGAGGCATGTGACCCAAACCATTGCTCATATGCATGCAAAAGCTGGACAATGAATAAGGAAGACCACAGAAGAATTGATGCATTTGAATTGTGGTGTTGACAAAAAATATTGAATATACCTTGGACTGTGAGAATGAACAAATCTGTCCTGGAAGAATTACAACCAGAATCCTTAGAAACAAGGATGCTGACTTTGTCTCATGTACTTTTGACCTGTTATCAGAAGGGCCCAGACCCTTGAGAGGATATCATGCTTGCTAAAGCAGAGTGTCCAAGAAAAAGTGGAAGACTTTCAATGAAGTGGATTGACACAATGGCTGTAACAATGGGCTCAAACATGCCTCATCCTGTCTTTATGAAGATGACACAGGATGAGGCAATGTTTTATTCCTTTGTATATAGGTACTATGAGTTGGAACTGACTTGGCAGCATCTGACAACAACAACAACATATGATTTTTTAAGTCCTGTATTATTGCCATTGAGTAAATCCTAAATTGTAATACACATATTCACCAAAACCTTAAAAGACAATTGCCTCTTCTAGCATTTTATTTTCTAGAAATCACAATTTTTTTCCTTCTGAAAGCCCATGAAATTTAAAATGCATATTTTTTGGTACATATGACTGCTGTTCAAATATCAGATTAAAGTTTAAAACTTTAGAAATATTAAGTAATTTGATTAAAATCTAACCATAAAATAAAATAGTAATGCAAGGATGACTAAGCCAAATATTTGGATCTACATTAGAAGATTACTAATAATTTTAAAATTAATAGATTCATCTCATAGAAATGTTGTGAATAGTTAACATGATGCCAAGAACACATTAAGACTTGATTAATATCACATTTAATTATCAAATGAACTGTCATAATAAAATATTTCTTGGATTGATATCAGTATAATTTCTCATTCAACTACTCAGTCATATTATCAATTGTCATGGATTGATTTGTGTCCCCCCAAAATATGTGTCAACTTGGCTGGGCCATGATTCTCAGTGATTTGGCAGTTATGTAATGATATAATCATCCCTCAGGATGTGATCTGATGTAATCAGCCAATCAATTGTAAGGGTATTAGGGTGGATACAATACCTTACTCAGGTTTCAGCCCTAATCCAAGGTAATGGAAGTTCCCCTTGGATATGGTCTGCATCACCTTTCATCTTACAATGATAAAAGAAGAGAGAAGTGAGCAAAGAAAGAAGGAACTAACTACCACCGAGAAAGAAGAGCTGGAACAGAGCTACCCTTTTGTAGCCATCAGCTGAGAACTTCCTAGATCCAGGGGAAGATTGATGCCAAGACACATGTAGATGTCCAAGGAATGCCTGGCCCACAGATACTGAAAGGAGACAAGGGTCTTCCCCCAGAGCTGCAGAGAGAGGAAAATCTTCCCCTAGAACTGGTGCCCTGAACTTGGACATCTAGCCTCCTAAACTAGGAGAGAATAAATTTCTGTTTGTTAAAGCCATCCAGTTACGATATTTCTGTTACAGCAGCAAAAGATAACCAAAACACTAAGTAAATTATCGAGTCCCCATGAAACAAAGAAGTGGCATTATATTTAAATTATAAATATACAAATGGAGTCTTACATAGAGACCTTCTATTAGTGTGTTTAATATTTTTGAGTTTTCAGCAGAGTTTACTTTTGATCAAATGCAGTACAATATGGCTATGCAGAATGAGAAATTGGATGGAAGCAACTTGGAAGGTGGTTCACAGCAAGCCCCACTGACTCCTCCCAACACTCCGGATCCACGAAGTCCCCCAAATCCAGAGAACATTGCACCAGGTAACTAATACCCTTACAAATAAAACAATAAAATTGCTGTGTATCTAAAGATATGGCTCAAGTCATTAAAAACCTTTTTTAAATTGTATTTAGATGACACAGCTTTATCATTAAACAACTGGTTTTTGGAATGAATTCAAGAAAAATGTAAAGATTCAGACCTAGAGGGTATATGTAATACATTTGTTGTAGCCATGTGTTCTCTCAGATGATCCTTTGTATTTGTGAGAAATTACTTCCTATTTTTCAAATTAAGTCATTTGAAATTATACTTGTATAGGGCTTTATGAATGGTCTTGATATATATTATCTGTTTTACTTTCACAATAATTCTGTGGCATAGTTATTACAATCCTCATTGTATAAACTAAGAAACTAAGGTTATGAATGTCTATGAGGTCACACTGATCAAGAATTTGGTGTTCTGGTACTGAATTTAAGATGCCTTTTGTGAAATAAAGTTGTGGAGATTGCTTTAGTTAGTCTCTGCTCCCCACAAGGACTTAAGATGCAGTCCCTTAAGAGTGTGTTGTTGTTCATTGCCGCTGAGTCAGCTCCAACTCATAGCAGCCTTATGTAAACTGAATAAAACATTGCCTGGTCTTGAGCTAGCCTCACAATCCTTGCCACGCTTGAGCTCATCATTGCAGTCACTGTGTCAATCTCATTGAAGAACTTCCCCTGTTTTTAATGACCTTCCACTTTACCAAGCATAATATCCTTCTCCAGGGCATGGTCCCTTCTGACAACATGACCAAAGAAGGTGAGACAAAGTCTTGCGTTCTCACTTCCAAGGAGCATTCTGGCTACACTTATTCCAGGACAGATTAGTTCATTCTTCTGGCAGTTCAGGGTGCTTTCAGTATTCTTTGCCAACACCACAACTCAAAAGTATCAACTCTTCTTTGGTCTACCTTATCCATTGTCCAGCTTTCACATGCATATGAAGCAATTGAAAATATCATGGGTTGGGTTAGGCACACCTCTAATGGCGTAGTGCCAAAGGCATTTGACTGCTAACCAGAAGGTTGTCAGTTCAAACCCACCATCCACGCCACGGAAGAAAGACTGGACAATCTACTTCCATAAAGATTTACTGCCTGGGAAACCCAAAGGGGGTCACTATGAGTTGGACTCGACTGGATAGCAGTGAGTTTGGTTTTTGGTTTTGGAGTCTTCAAAGAGACATCTTTGCTCTTCAGCACTTTAAAGTGGTCTCACGTTCTTCTTCATATAGTCCAGTTTCTCGGATTATTTGCTCAGCATACAGATTGAATAAGTATGATAAAAAGATACAACCCTGACACACTCTCTTCCTGATTTTAAACCATGCAGTATCCCCTTGTTCTGTTCGAATGCCAGCCTCCTGATCTATGTACAGGTTCCTCATGAGCACAATTAAATGTTCTGGAATTCCCGTTCTTCTCAATGTTATCTATAATTTATTATGACCCACACGGTCAAATGCTTTTGCATAGTCAATGAAACACAAGTAAAAGTCTTTCTGGTATTTTTTGCTTTCAGCCAAGATCCATCTGACATCAGCAATGATATCCCCCATTGTACATCCTCGTCTGAATCCAGCTTTCATCCTGGAAGTTCCTGGTTAACATACTGCTGCAACCGTTTTTGAATTATCTTCAGCAAGATTTTACTTGCATGTGATATTAATGATATTATTCGATAATTTCCACATTCTGTTGGATCATTTTTCTTTGGAATGGGTACAAGTATAGATAGAGCTCTTCCAGTCAGTTGACCAAGTAGCTGTCTTCCAGATTTCTTGGCATAAACAAGTAAGTGTCTCCAGTGCAGCATCCATTTGTTGAAACACCTCAATGGGTATTCCATCAATTCCTGGAGTCTTGTTCTTCACCAATTCCTTCAGTGCAGCTTAGATTTCTTCCTTTAATACCATTGGTTCTTGATCATATGCCACCTCCTGAAATAGATGAACATTGAACAATTCTCTTTGGTACAGCAACTCTGTGTATTCCTTCCATCTTCTTTTGATGATTTCTTCATCACTCAATATTTTGCCCAGAGAATCTTCTCTTTTTTTCTTGTTCTTTGAGTGCAAATTTACAAAGCAGATTTGTTTTACAATCTACAGTTCATGCACATTTGATTTCATAACCCGATTACAATCCCCAACCATAAAAATATCCCCTCCCTTCTCCCCCCTTCTCTTCCCTGTGATTACCCCTTCCTGTGCCCTTCTTATCTATGCATTCCTGTCTGTACAGCTTTCCCTCTATGTGAATGCTCAAACTAAACCAAACCAAACTCACTGCCATTGAGTCGATTCTGACTCATAGTGACCCAAATTGGGTTTCCAAAGCAGTAAATCTTTACAGAAGTAGATGACCCCATCTTCCTTCCATGAAACAACTTTTGAAGCACCAACATCCTGGTTAGCAGTCAAATGCCTTTGGCCCTATGCCACCATATCTCACGGTTGATTGATATAAGGGGTGCATCACCCTAGGGTAGGTGGGTGTATCTCCCTGGGGTAGGTGTTTTGCATGCAGGTCTTTCTATTGTTGGCCTGAGAGCCAGTCCATGAAATTCCATCTTCTTTCAATATTTCCTGCATCTGTCAATAATTTGCTCATGGAATCTTTCAATATTGTTACTCAAGGTTTGAATTTTTTCTTCCATTCTTTCAGATTGAGAAATGCCAAGCATTTTCTTCCCTTTAGGTTTTCTAACTACAAGTCTTTGTACATTTCATTATAATAATTGGTTTTGTCTTATTGAGCTGATCTTTGAAATCTGCTGTTCAGCTCTTTTATTTTGTCATTTCTTCCATTTGCTTTAGCTACTCTCTGTTCAAGAGCAAGTTTCAGAGTCTGTTCTGACATCTATTTTGGTCTTTTCTTTCTTTCCTGTCTTTTGCTTTATTCATGTATAATGTTCTTGATATCATCCCACAATTCCTCTGGTTTTCAGTCATTGGTGTTCAGTGCGTCAAATATATTCTTTAGATGGTCCATAAATTAGGGTAGAATGTAACGAAGGTCATATTTGGATGTCATGGATGTGTTTTAATTGTCTTCAACTTGAACTGGCATATAAGCAGTTGATATGATATGAGCAAGAACTGTCTATTTCACAGCCAGTTCCTGGCCTTGTCTTGGCTAATATTGAGCTTCTCCATCTTCTCTTTCCACAGATATAGTCAATATGATTCCTGTGTATTTCATCTGGTGAAGTTCATGTGTATAGCCATTGTTCATGTTGTTGAAAAAAGGTATTTGCAATGAATAAGTCACTGATCTTGCAAAATTCTATCATGCCATCTCCGATGCCATTTCTATCACCAACGCTATATTTTCCAACTACTGGTGTTTCTTCCTTATTGCCTAATTTTGCATTCCAATCACCATTAATAATCAACACATCTTGATTTCATGTTTGGTCAATTTCTGTCTGTAGAAGTTGGTAAAAATCTTCAATTTCCTCATCTTTTGCTTTAGTGGTTGGTGAGTAAATATGAATAATAGTAATATTAATAGGTCTTCCTTGTAGGCATACGGATATTATCCTATCACTGACAGCATTGTACTACAGGATAGATCTTGAAATATTTTTTTTGTGACAATGAATGCTATGCCATTCCTCTTCAAATCTGTCATTCCTGGCATAGTAGATCATATGGTTGTCTGATTCAAAGTGGCCCAAACCAGTCCATTTCAGCTCATTAATGCCTAGGATACAATCTTTATGTGTTACATTTCATTTTTTATAACTTCCAATTTTCCTAGTTTCATACTTCATGCAAGTCCATGCTTTGATTAGTAATAGATGTTTGCAGCAGTTTCTTCCCATTTTGAGTCATGCCATGTCAGCAAATGGAGCTCCCAAAAGCTTTACTCCATCCATGTGGACTCTACTTTGAGGATGCAGCTCTTCTCCAGTCATATTTTGAGTGCCTCCCAACCCAAGGGGTTCATCTTCCAGCACTATATCAGACAATGTTTCAGAGCTGTTCATAAAGTTTTCCAGTAATATATTAGACACTGTTTTGTTCTTATTCATAAGGTTTTCAGTGGCCACTTCTTCAAGAAGTGGATTGCCCTTTCCTTCTTCTGAGTCTGTCTTAATCTGGAAGCTCCGCTGAAACTTGTCCATGGGTGACCCTGCATAGGAGGGATCGCTATGAGTCAGATCTGACTTGACGGCAGTGAGTTTGGAGTTTTTTTTATACACATGGACCTCACCAAATGAAATACAAAGGAATCAAATTGACTACATCTGTGGAAAGAGGCAATGGAGAAGCTCAATATTATCCATCAAAACAAGGCCAGGGGCTGACTGTGGAATAGACCACCAACTGCTCATATGCAAGATCAAGTTAAAGCTGAAGAAAATTAAAACAAGTCCACAAGAGTCAAAATACAACCTTGATTATGTCCCACCTGAATTTAGAGACCATCTGAAGAAAAGATTTGACACATTGGACACCAGTGACCGAAAACCAGACAAATTGTAGGATGACATCAATGACATCATATACAAAGAAAGCAAAAGGTCATTACAAAGACAGGAAAGGAAGAAAAGACCAAAAATGGATGTCAGAAGAGACTCTGAAAGTTGTTCTTGAATGGAAAGTAGCTGAAGCAAATGGAAGATATGATGAAGGCAAAGAGCTGAACAGAAGATTTCAAAGGGCAGATTGAGATGACAAAGTAAAGTATTATAATGAAATGTGCAAAGACCTGGTGCTAGAAAACCAAAAGGGAAGAACACATTCACTATTTCTCAAGCTGAAAGAACTGAAGAATAAATTCAAGCCTTGAATTGCAATATTGAAGGATTCTATTGGCAAAATATTGAATGAATCAAGAAGCATCAAAAGAAGATGGAAGGAATACACAGAATCACTGAACAAAACAAAACAAAAAAAAAACTGGTCAACATTCAATCATTTCAGGTGGTAGCATATGATTGACAACCAATGGTATTGAAGGAAGATATCTAAGCTGCACTGAAGGAATTGGCGAAAAACAAAACTCCAGAAATTGACAGAATACCCATTGAGATGTTCCAACAAACAGATGTGGTGCTGGGGTGTTTACTCATTTATGCCAAGAAATTTGGAAGACAGCTACCTGTCCAACCAACTGAAAAAGATGGTTGTTTGCACCCATTCAAAAGAAAGGTGATCCAAAAGAATGTGGAAATTATCAAACAATATCATTAATATCACATGCAAGTAAGATCTTACTGAAGATAATTCAGAAACGTTTCCAGCAGTGTATTGACAAAGAACTTCCAGAAGTTCAGGCTGGATTCAGAAGGGGATGTGAAACAGGATATCATTGCTGATGCCAGATGCACCTTGGCTGAAAGCAAAGAATACCAGAAAGATGTTTATTTGTGTTTTATTGACTGTATGAAAGCATTCAACTGTACGGATCATACCAAATTATGGATAACATAGCAAAGAATGGGAATTATTGAACACTTAATTGTGCTCATGAGGAACATATACATAGACCAAGAGGCTGTTATTTAAATACAACAAGAGGATATTGCATGTTTTAAAATTAGGAAGGGTGTGTGTCAAGGTAGTATTCTTTCACCATACTTATTCAATCTGTATGCTGAGAAAAAATCAAAGAGGTTAGACAGCAGCAGAATTGGAGGAAGGATCATTAACAATCTGCTATATGCAGATGACACAACCTTGCTTGCTGAAAGTGAAGAGACCTTGAAGCACTTACTGATGAAGATCAAAGATTACAGTCTTTAGTATGGATTACGTCTCAACATGAAGAAAACAAAAATCCTCACGATGAAACCAATAAGCAACATCATGATAAGTGTAGAAAAGATTGAAGTTGTCAGGGATTTCGTTTTACTTGGATCCATAGTCATCACCCATGAAAGCAGCAGTCAAGAAATCAGACATTGTATTGTACTGGGCAAATTTGCTACAAAAGACCTCTTCAAGGTCTTAAGGAACAAAGATGTCACTTTGAAGTCTAAGGTATGCCTAACCCAAGCCATGGTATTTTCAATAGCCTCATATGCACATGAGAGCTGGACAATGAATAGGAAGACCAAAGAAGAGTTGACCTCTGAATTGTGGTGTTCACAAAGAATACTGAAAATATTATGGACTTCCAGAAGAATGAATACATCTGTCCTGGAAGAAATGCAGCCAGTATGCTTCTTAAAAGCGAGAATGGCCAGACTTGGTCTCACCTATTTTGGTCATGTTGTCAGAAGGGACCAGTCCCTGGAGAAGAATATCATACTTGGTAAGATAGAGAGTCAGCAAAAAAAGGGAAGACACTAAACAAGATGGATTGACACAGTGGCTGCCGTGATGGGCTCTAGCATAGCAAAGATTGTGAGGATGGGCAGGATTGGGCAGTGTTTTGTTCTATTGTACATAGGATGGCTAGGAGTCAGAGCAGATTCAATGGCAGCTAATGATAACAACAACATAGTGGTATAGATGGGAAGTAGGTGGTTGTGCCTTAGGATACCTGAAGAGTTTTCATTTGATAAGTGTGAAAAAGTTTTAAAGTTTTATTCTAGGAATTTGTATGATTTTAAAATTATACTTTGAGAATATTTCTAGTTCTTATGATGGATGAATTGAGGAGGTGAGACCAAAAGCAAAAACGGTAGTTAAGAAATTGTCAGGAACCGAGTAAACAAGGGATGGACATCTCAGGGAATAATGAGGCCAGGGGCTGAATAGTATAGAAAACAAGTTACTTCCCCCATTTGAAGCTTAAATATTTTACAGAACGCTCAGCAATTTACGATGGGCAAACTGCTCACATATCTCTAAAGAATCAGCTCCCAGAGGAGAAATATTCTGTCTTAATTGCTATTTCTCCAGAGCCTAGACTATGGTAGGCACTCAATACATATTTTTAAATCAACTAACTAATTGTGGTAGCTGAAGCCTCAAATAGATTAATGTAAAAGAGATAATTTTAAAAAATAATAATAAGATGAATATAATTTTTAATTTTACAGTAAGAAATATGTAGTAAGATAGGCAAGGAAGAATATCTGTATAATTTGGAAAAAAGTAAACATTAAGAAATGAGGTTTCTTTTTAGCATTCCACAAGCTTAAAAGGGTTTTAAAATATCTCTTTCAGATTATTTTTTCCTGAGCGACTATAAAAAGAATGCAGTTTTCTTAATTTTACCACTGAATGAAAAATTAAACATGGTAAAATGTTAGGAGGAGTCTAATAACTCTCAATCACTCTGTTTACTTATTCTTATTATATTTTTCTGAAGGATATTCTGGACCACTGAAGGAAATTCCTCCTGAAAGATTCAACACCACAGCTGTCCCTAAGTACTATCAGTCTCCCTGGGAACAGGCCATTAGTAGTGATCCAGAGCTTTTAGAGGCTTTATACCCTAAACTTTTCAAGCCTGAAGGAAAGGCAGAACTGCCCAATTACAGGAGCTTTAACAGGTAATTCATTTACCCTGGGTGACACTGTTGGCATGTGATACCGAGTTTTTGTCATCATGATACAGAGAACAAAATCCTCTGGTGGAAAACATTTTAGTTTTTAATGAAAAGCCTCTAAATGGCAATAGAAGATTATTCTGTACCCCCGACAAAGACTTACTTTTGCAATGTTACTAATACACCCAATCTTGGGTATATGTAGCTTGGAGCAAGTCACTTAACCTCTGCTTACATTAATTTCCTCATCTGTAAAATAAGGGGCTGCACTAAACTCTATGATTGTATGATTACCCAAACTCAAACCCATTGCTATTGAGTCAATTCTGACTTACAGCAATCCTATAAGAGAGAGTTCTCTGGAGACAGAGAACTGCCTCCATAGGGTTTCCAAGGCTGTAAAACTTTTTTTTTATTTTCTTATTGACTGTAACTCCCACAATGTAACCCCTCCCTTTCCACTTCCTCCCTGTGATTGTCTTTTCCCTTGTCTTTCTTTCTTTTGCATCCCTGCCCTCTAAGTTTTCTCCCTGCACAAATGCTGCCCTTCTGATCTCCCAAGGTTGATTTGTTCTAAGGAATGTACTTACCAGGTGTAATTTAACTGTTAACTTCCTAGGCCTGTCTACTGTTTGGCTGGAAGTTAAGCTGTGGGAGTGAGTTCAATTCTGGGCCTGAAGGGTGACTAGGTGCTATAGTCTCCGGGTTTCCACCAGTCTGTATTAGACCAGTAAGCCTGGTCTTTTTTCATGGTTTCGAGTTTGTTCCACATTTTTCTCCCACTCTATCCAGGACCTCCAATTTCGATGCCTTTCCAAGTGGTTGACGGTGGTAGCTGGGCACCATTACTCCTGTTCTCAGGGTCATGTAACTTGAGGTTCCCATGAATCATTAGTCCATTGGACTGTTTCCATACATCTTTGATTTCCTTCACTCTCCTTCACTTTAGATGAGGACAGACCATTTGCTGTATCTTACATGGCTGCTCACAAGCTTTTAAAGCCCTGGTCACTATTCACCAAAATGGGATGTAGAACAATATTTTTGTGTAGTATGTTATGCCAATTGAGCTTGATGTCCCGTGACCATGATTTTGAGCCCACGGCCCAGCAGCTCACTCCACTCCCTCAAAGTGTTTAGCTGTGGCTAAGAAGTTTTCTTAACTTTGCCCCCTGTTAAGGCTGTAAGTCTTTATGGAAGTAGACTGCCATATCTTTTTCCCACAGAGTGGCTGGTGCATTTGAACCACTGACCTTTCCATTAGCAGCCAAGTACTTTAACCACTGCACCACCAAGTGTCCAGTTATGTGGTTAAATACCATTAAATACATGATGTACATTACCTATTTAGTAGAATAAATTAATTTCACTACAACCATTTAACCTACTCCTTTACCTTATAGAATAATAAGCACTATTAATTTATACAAATGTAATCCCCATTACTGATCAATCAAAATAAACAAGAAAGTATCTCTTAATTGTGAGGCTGAAGAAAACAGATTTACCAGATGACAAAGAGTAAAGCTATTTTAAGTTAAATCCATGTTTTGAAAATTTATGTTAGTGATTACAGAGATGCCCAATTATTTTTCAGTAGCAATTCCAAATATTACAGAGGAAGGTTTATGCTTCACTAATTTCGACTAAAACTTGAAACTATATTCAGAGATCTTAAAAATTTCATAAGTAGTCTCTCACTTTGAATGTTTAACATCTCTGTTAATGGACTCTTGTGTGCTAAGGCCAATAAAAATTCAAACAAACAGGATACAGTCTGAATGGTGCCAAAGGAAAGAAAACTCTGTTTTCCAAACAGCAACCTTTCTCTGGATCAGCAGTAGGAGGTAGGGGAAGGGAAGGAAATGTTTTCATTTTCAAAAGAAGAAAATGACCTGCCAATTCGGAGAAGAAAACAAAACAGGATTGGATAAAAAGAGAAAACATAATCCACTAAATGCCAAACCCAAATACTGGATTTCAGTTGCAGAGGTACACATCGTCTTTGGTTTAACTCAGGAAAAGAAAAAATTATGTCCGTGACTAAAATTCATTTCTGGAATTAATAAATACAAGATAAATAAATTGACCAGATTCAGCTTAAATCTAGCAATGTTGAACTCCAGCCTCTTGCATCTAATGGATAACCATTCTCAAAATCCCAAGTATGAACATGCAACCAGTTCAATTGCACAGAGCATCACAATTAGAAGTGTCCTGTGTTTAATACTTTGCTGTCACGAACTTGAAGTTCTTAGTAATTTTTTTTAACAAGGGACCCGAATTTCATTTTGTACTGGGCTCTCCAAATTATGTAGCTGGTCCTGATCGCAGGCTCCAACTTTAAGAAGTTTTGTCTGACCCACCAAGCAGACGAAGATGCATTTCATCTTAGGCTCCTCTGCACTAAGGACATGCTTCCTTTAAAGCACCTATCTTATTCCGATCCACTCCTCGGAAGGAAGGTTGGGCAATCTATTTCTGAAGTGATACTGCCTCAGAAACCCAAGGAGAAGTCACCATGAGTCTGGTCTGACTCGATGGCAAATAACAATAACAACATCTTATTCCTTGTGTGCTGTGTTTTTGTTTGTTTGTTTGTTTTTTGTTTTACCCTTTCAAGTTTCTCTCTTCACTTTTCTGTGAGTTCACTGAGGTAAAGTTCTACTACAGTATTTTTCTGTTTTCTTTTTTACTGTGGTAAAATATTGGTGTTGTTGTTAGGTGCCATCAAGTTAGTTCTGACTCATAGCAGACGTATGTACAACAGAACAAAACATTACTCCGTCTTGTGCCATTCTCACAATCATTGCTATATGTGACACCATTGTTCAGTCGCTCTGTCAATCCGTCTCATTGAGGTTCTTCCTCTTTTTCACTGACCCTCTACTTTACCAAGCATGATAACCGTCTCCAGGGACTGATCTCTCTGACAACATGACCAAATTACAAGGGGTGAAATCTGGCCTTCCTCCATTCTAAAAAGCATTCTGGCTGTACTTTATTCAAGTAAGATTTGTTTATTCTTCTGGCAAGCAGTCCATGGTATAGTAAATATTCTTCAAAAACATTACAACTCAAATGCATCAACTTTTCTACAGTCTTCTTTACTCATTGTCCAGCTCTCAACACATATGAGGCTATTGAAAATGCCATGGTGTGGGTCAGGAGGACCTTAGTCCTCAAAGTGGCATCTTCACTCTTTAACACTTTAAAGAGGTCTTTTACAGCAGAATTGCCCAATAAAATTTATCCTTTGATTTCTTGACTACTGCTTCCATGGGAGTTGATTTTGGATCCAAGTATTTTGTAATATTTGACGACTTTAATTTTTTCTCCATTTTTCATGATGTTGCTTACCGGTTCACGTGTGAAACTTTTTGTTTTCTTTATGTTGAGGTGTAACCCATACAGAAGGCTGTAGTCTTTACTCTTCATCAGTAAGTGCTTCAAGTCCTCTCCACTTTCGGCAAGCAAGATAGTCATCTGCGTGACATAACAAGTTGTTAATGAGTCTTCCTCCAATTCTGATGCTGCATTCTTCTTTGTAAAATCCAGTTTCTCAGATTATTTGCTCAGCATACAGATTGAATAAGTATCATGAAAGGATACAACCCTGATGCACATCTTTTCTGATTTTAAACCATGCAAATTTTTGTTCTGTGTGAACAACTACCTCTTGGTCTATGTACAGGTTCCTCATGAGCACAATTAAGTGTTCTGGAATTCCCATTCTTTGCAATGCTGCCCATTATTTGTTATGATCTACATAGTCAAATGCATAGTTAATAAAAACATAGTTAAATATCTTTCTGGTATTCTGTGCTTTCAGGTAAGATCCATCTGACATTAGCAATAATAGTCCTCATTCCAGGTCCTCTTCTAAATCTGGCCTGAATTTCTGGCAGTTCCTTTTTGATGTACTATACTGCTGCAACCATCTTTTGCTTATCTTCAGCAAAATTTTGCTTTTATGTTATATTAATTATTTGATCAATAATTTCCCTATTCTGTTGGATCACCTTCCAATACTATATCAATATTCCACTGCTATTCATAAGGTTTTCACTAGCTATTTTTTTAGAAGTGAATTGCCAGGTCCTCCTTCCTCATCCATCTTAGTTAGAAAGCTCTGCTGAAACCTGTCCACTATGGGTGACCCTGCTGGTATTTGTAATACTGGTGCCATAGCTTCCAGCATCATAGAAACATACCAGCCACCACAACACAACAATCAAGTCTTAGATATATATACTACATTTTGTTTATCCATTCTTCTGTTGATGTGCACTTGGTTGTTTCCACCTTTTGGTTATTGTGAATAATGCTGCAATGAACATTGATGTACAACTATATTTGAGTCTCTGCTTGCAATTCTTTTGGGTATATGCATAGGAGTAGAATTGGTAGGGATGTGGTAATACTTTATTTGTCAAATTATTTTCCACAGCAGCTGTATCATTTCATACTTCCATCCACATTGGATAGGGTTTCAGTTTTACACATCCTTGCCAACACTTGTTATTTTCCATTTTTAGTGGGTTAAGTAGTACCTCATTGCAGGTTTTATCTGCATTTACCTAATGATTAATGTTGTTGAGCAAATTTTCATGTGCTTATTAGTTATTTGCATATATTCTTTGGAGAAATATCTATTCAAGTCCTTTGAATATTTTTCAACTGGGTTGTCGTTTTGTTGTTGAGTTTTCGTCTTTGAATCTCTAGCACATAGTAGAGTGGCAGACATACCAAACAATCAGTAATTTGTTGTATTAGTACATGAATCATTCAACAAATGCATAAACTACTGATATAAAATGGGAAGGTTCTAAAGTGATAAGATATTTTCTCTTGTGGACATCCAAGAATAAAAAATGTTAATTATGTACTGAATTACATTTGAGTTATAAAGACACTTAAACATACTAAATATACTAATAAGATAATAAAACATAGGACATTCAATCAGCTAGTTGTGTTATGAATGTGATAGCAACTTGGCT